CTGCCCGTTTTTCTTCAGCGTGTTGAGCTGGGGGGAAAAAAAAAAATATGAAAAGCACCCCGGTCGAAAAGTTCCTGGATCGTGATGACGACGGATTCATGAACTGAAGTCTTTTTTTTTTTTTTGGTTCTTCTTCCCCATTTTGTTTTTTCTTTTGGGGATTGTTTGTTTTTGTTTTTGTTTTCTTACCAAAACGTTAGGCAAAGAACCCAGTCGTGGACTTGCTTTGCTGTGCTCTGTGTATTTATTTTCAATTAAAACAAATACATTTCAACTTTCTCTCTTCTTCATTTTTTTATGACAGTGAGCAATTTCCATCCTGTCGTATTGCCGCCGCCCCTCCCCCGTTGTCAATGCTGAAAATGCTTTCAAATAAAAAAAAGAAAAAGGAGTGAAACCACACCTTACATTGACAAAACGATCAACATCCACGATCGTTGGCGATCTTTTCTGTCACTCGACAATCGCTCCATATGTTAAACAACTCACAATCAAAAACGAAGACGAAGCATATTTGAAAAAGATTGACAAGAAAAGGCTCGAAAGAAAAGAATTCCATGAAGTCAAAACAAAACGTGGCATTTAAAAAAAAAAAAAAAGCAAAAGAATCAGCTGGAACAATTGCCACCTTTGACAACAAGTAGCTGAAAATTGCTCATCGACGACACGGGATTGTGTTGTGCGGGGGATTCGGATCGTGACTTAAGACGACGTGAAGCACACAAGTTTGATTGCGGTTGAATTTTTTTTATTTTTTTTGGGAGTAGCAAAACAAAAAAAACAAAATCTGTGACAAGCACATCGGCACGGAGATCCTTTTTGTCCATTTTGCCGCCAAACGGACAATCCGGATTGGACCCGCCCGTCCTGACCAGAAAAGCGTTTTGATGACACGGAAGGCATCCTTCGTGGGCCCGACCCGTTTAGGCCGCGTCGGTTGCGGATTGGGCCCCCCGTGAGAGGGGGAGCTTTAGTCCGGCAGGGCGGGAGGCCAGTCCACGTCGACGGACTGCGGGACAGGAAACGGACACAAGAATTGTAATTTTCAATTTCAAGACAATCTCGCAAGCAAAGACCGAGTTGCTTTTCGACGGATATAAAGGTGGATTTCTTTCAGACGTTTTTTCAAAGCGGCCACCCGACAAATAAGAGGGAATGGGAGCCCGAGCGCGAGACCAACCTCCACATCAAGTTCCAGTATGTCGGCGTGCGTGTCGAGTAGCTGACACAAATTTGGTTTCGTGCGGCCAAAGTCGCCGTGGACAAACTCCTTGATGTAGCTGAGGGGGGGGGGGAAACTTGAGGAGAACAACTTGAAAATTGGAGAGAAAACAAAACAAAACAAAAATTGAAGTCGGGAGGCGCAACCGAGAGTCGGTCGGTCAAGTCCGAGGGGAGGGAGCGAGGAGGAAGAAGAATCGGGAGACAGCGAGCCGGCCGGCGGGTGAAGGCCAC